TGTCTGTTCTTGTTATTCTATTGTCCATTTTGTAATTTTTAATTATTAAACACTTGTTTGTATTATTGTTTGTATTGTCTATTTTCTCCCCTTCAATTTGAGAAGGTTTACCTTCAAGAAATTGAATATTTTGTTTGATAGTGATTTTATTATTGTGCCAAGTTTTATAGCCTTTACTTTCATTGTCTAATCCTATCCAACAAGCAATAATACCTTGCTGTTGTATTTTTGTAGGGTTTTTGTTGCAAATGATAATATATTGATCAAATTTGTGTATATTATCAATTGTTCTGTGGGTTCTATAACATTTGTAATGTAGAGTATTGTAATTTAATGTAGCACACAGTGTTCTATTATGAATATAGGTAATATGAATTGCTGCTTCAGCCTATAATGTAAACAGTAATTTAGTAGATGTTAGATATGCTCTTACACCTCTAAATATAGTTTTATGAGTTTGTTCCACTATTCTGTTCTGTTACAGAGTATGATGTACTGTTAATCTTTGTTTTGTTCCTTATGAATCTAAATATTGTTGGAAATCTTCACTAAGGAATACAGTATTGTTATCACTTTGTAAAAGCTTTATTTTAACTCTGTACTGTGTAAATATTTTATTTGTCCATTGTATGTATTGTGTATATACATTGGATTTTGTTTGTAATTTGAGCATTATACACTAACAAGTAGAATTGTCTACAATCATTAATAAGTAGTGTATGTTCTTATATGTGTACAGTTCAATAGGACTAATAATATTGATATGAATAAGATCTCCAAATTGATTTGCAAGAGGAGATTGACATAGTTTTAGTATTAGTGTACATTCAATATTTGCTTTTATACATTCAATACATTCTTTTTCTTTGTAGTTCATTATTTTAGTTGATAATACACTTGGTTGTGTTTTTAATAATTGTTTAATATAATTGTAACTTATATGTCTGAGGCATTTATGTATATCATAAATAGATAGTTTGTTCATTGTTTTTAACAAGTGATTATTGTACAAAATATACAAGTTATTTCTCAATTGTACATGTCCAACATATTTGTTACATAGTGATGTTATAGTACAAGTATCATTTGTAAACATAAAAGAATAACCTTCCCTACATAGTAGCACTTGACTTATGAGGGAAAAGTTCATTTGTGGATAGTAATAGACGTTTTGTAATGTTATGATGCTTCTTTCTTGTATATTCTTCGGGATTTCAATATGCATAGATCCAGCTCAATTAAGAGTCATTGTTGATCTATTTGCAATAGTTACAATTGTAGGAGTTATGTTGTGTACATCCGTTAATTGAAATAGATAAGGAGTAGCATGTATTAATGTACTAGAATCGAGTAAATCCATTGTTTGTATATAGGATTTCTCATTAGCTATGATTGTATTTGTAAATATGTTAGTACATACCTAGGAAGTGTATTGTTCGAATTGTTTGTCCTGGTTGCTCAGAATAAGAGTGTAGGTGTTATCATTCATTTCAACATCACTTTCCTTTAATTCAACATTGTTTTTGTTTAGGTTTTCAATAATAAATGTATTTGTTGTGTTTTCTACAGTTTGGTTTGTTTTATGTACAATGTTAGCTTGATGTTTGGCACAGGCAAGCTTTATAGCTTTAGTAGGAGGTTTACAGCATTCCTTAGAGAAATGTCCTGTTTTTCTGTAATTGAAACATTTTGCTTTTGTCAGATTGAACAGATTTGGTGGATTGAATTTCCTCTACTTATTGGCTTTATACATTGTATTAGTGTGTACATTATTCTTTGTCCAATCATTAGAATCTTGTGCTTGTTTAGTACAGTAATTGTTGTAGGCATTCTGTAATGTAAGGATTAGTTGCTTCAGTTTGACTTTCTTATGTTCATTGACTGGTTTGCCTTCGTTTTAGGCATCAGTAGATTGTATTATTGTATTTACTATATGTGTATATTACTCAGGAGTAGCAAGCAATATTACTACTTTGTATGTAGAGTTGTATGGTGGATCACTGTTAGCAGACAGAGTTGTGTATGCTTCCTCAAGTCTGTCTAATGTATGTCTGAAATGTTTTACATGGTCTCTACAAATAAACAGTGCTAATTTGTTAATGGCCTTTTTACATACTGTCTAGAGGTTGAAGCATTCTTCAAGCACTTTCATTAACTGAGGGATAGATGTATCAAAGTGTATATAGTTTGCCAATATTGTATCAGTAATGTTATTAACTATACATGTATGAATAGCCTTAACCATCTCCCTCTCAACTTTGTTCTACAGTTCATCCTTTAGTAAGTGTTTAAAGCATGTAGCTGTAACACTAGAAACAATACAGTAGTGCCACAACTTGTAGTTTGCTTCAGTCTTAAGCATTGTGATGTTTTGACCAAAGTATTTAGGTACATTAGCTGGTTTACAGCATGTATCTGTACATGAGGGAACCATGATGCAAATGTGTGCAAGTGTATACAAGTAAAGGGTTTAAAGTGTACAGTAGATGTGTGTATGTAGGGAGCTCAAGACTCATAACCTGTTGAGAGGGAAAACTTAAGGGGGGCACACATAGACAAGGGGTGAGGTAACCATTGACTGCTCAGTGTCTCTTATCCTTATATTGTATGTATTCTAACTGAGACATTATGAAGCCATTGTCTCATAGTTTGTCTGTTAATAAACTAATCATCTTATAATAAATGCAGACTACTTAAAATTTCCTCATACATTTTCACCCCATTTTCTTCCAACCTCTGACAAAAGGTTCTCTTATTTGTTCTTGTATATTTTGTTATTTTTCGTTTGTTCAGCCATAACATTTCCCTATTAGTACTATACTTTTCCAGAACTTGGAAAACTATAAATACAGCTACTCATGTACTAGATACAGGGAGAATTCAGATAGTTCACCTATTGATTTAGCTCTTGTCTTTTGTCTCAAAGTCCTCTAGTGTAAGGCATAGTCTTAGTCTTTGTTGTTTCTGTATCAGTTTGTTTGTTGTGTGCTTTGCAAGTACACTTTCTGTTATTCACATCTCTCTTCCAAGGTCACAACTGTGTCAGAAGAACTTGCACCTGTTCAGAACCACTCTAGTCTCATAAGACTCATAGTTTAGCTCCCTCTCAAACTTAACAAATCACCTGTGTTCTTCTCTTAGACACTTTACAGGAGTTTCAATGTACTACAAGTCAAACATCTTACAAGTTTACTCAGACTAGTAAGAGTTTGAAGGGGAGTATTACAAGATGATGAGTTTATCACAAGACAATAACTTTATAATGTCTCAGTTAGAATACATACAATATAAGGATGAGAGATACTGAGTAGTCAATTGTCACCTCACCCCTTGTTCTTACATGCCTTCCCTCTTCACAGTTGTTGACAGGGAAAGGAGAGTAGAGTCAAGCCTCCTTTGTAAGACTACTTATGGTCAATGACAAGGTTGTAGTAGTATGTGATCCTGCACAATGTACATTGTCATGATTCAGGACTGGCTGATAATAAGCAAGCAAGATGGTAGTAATGTGAGGCAGTGTTACTATATAATAATATAGTCTATATATGTGTGTATAAGTGCTTACTGTATTTGTCAAAGTGGCACATGTGTATTAACTATTTATATATTGAAAACTAAATAAGTCTAATTCTACAGCTTGTCTGTTCTGACTTGCTTATTCATGCAACTGTATTCATGTTGAGCCAAGTTATGTAATCCGCTTCCATCTTGGTTTTACAGGAGCTTCTGCACCTCTTAATATCTTCTCAATTCATCCTCCGGTCCACTGATCTATAAGGCTTTGGCTGGTCTATAACTAGAGATATATGATTATCTTGCAGTGATATACAATTCGGAAAGTGTCGACAGTGTATTGAAGAAATGCTCTGTAAATATCAGTCATCGAGCACACATTTACAGTTATAGTCTATACAGATCAGAACCTTCACCAAATGTAAGACGTTTTAACATGGTTTCCAGGAGTTGCTTTTTCATTCAATACTTGATTCGGAGGGTGGAAGTACTCGGTACGTGTGTATACAAAAAGCGATTCACCAGTTCAGCCAGTGAATCAGGAGAGAGAACACTACTTTTACTGGAATACAACGCAGTGTCAAGATATGTATGGGCAAGCATAGCAGCTCTGTGAAACACGTAGACAGGCAAATCTACGTTCTCTACTACCTGAACATCCGATCTCATTTCTCTTCCCTTAAGAGGAAGACAAAACGTCAGCCACATAACATAACACTCAACATTCACAACACACCTTAACTCTTTGCAGACAAGCAATAACTGTCAAGCGTTGTTCTTAGGCGGAGGTGGACCCGAAGGAGTCGTAGCCGGGGGAGGAGGTGGGGAAGGAGGCGGCGCAGCTTGGTCAGCCCGTTTATCTCTAGGAGGACCTTGACGAGGAGGACCTTGACCTCTGTTTGGTCCTTGCCGACCACCCGGTGGTCCTGGCGGGGGCGGAGGAGGCGGTTGCGTAGCACGCTTTCCGGCTACATGGGCTGGATCATCTTGTGGAGGTGGAGGAGGCGGGACCGGCGCTGTCGTCGGAGGTGGGGGAGGAGCGTCCTCAGCACGCTTATTTCCAGGTGGACCTTGCGGGGGTGGAGCAGCATCTGTGGTAGGAGCAGGCGGTGCAGGATTTGTCGCAGTAGGAGGTGGTGGTGTGGGAGCTGTTGCCTGCGTCGGTGGAGGTGAAGGCGGAGAAGCCTGCTGCGCATTACGCTTTTCCCTCGGTGGGCCTGGGGGACGAGCCTGTCCACCTTGTCCACCGTTAGCTTGGTTATTCGGAGGTGGAGGCGGAGCCTGGCCGCCAGGTCCTCCACCAGGAGCGTTGGGCGGTGGAGGACGATTACCAGCTTGACGTTTCTCTCCTGGAGCACCTTGAGGCGGTACAGGTGCACTCGGCGTTGGTGCGGGTGGTGCTGGCAGTGGGGCAGGTGCATCTGCTGCTACAGCGTTCGCATCAAGCGGAACCTGGTATGATAGTAATAAGTAACTTGGTATACAACTTATAGACCACGGTTCAGTACTGACCGGCGCAGCAGTGACAGCAGCAACGGCAAATGCCAAAAGAACAACCTGCTTGAACAGCATAACTATTCTGCAGAAGATGAAGTAGAAGTTGAGATCGGATGTCACAAGTAAATGGAGTAGATGAGGAGAACCTGCCAGAGGACTGCTGGCTCTTCTTCGTCCGAACACGATAGGTATTTATACCATTTTTCGTCGTTGAGCGTATTGAATCAGGGAATAGCGCTGTTCGGGAGGCATACGCATTTCCCGAGCATTAATTGCTGCGGAATGCCGTCTGCTTCACTAGGGAACGTGTGAATCACGGAAGAAGCACATTTGGTTGTCCTCCATGTACGGCGCCCTAAGATATCCGATTCTCGCAAGTTGAGCGCACAGACACTGGCCAGTGTACTGGCAGGAGGTTGGAAAAACCCTCACGAGATATTTAACTTCACTGCTTTAGTTTCTTCAAAAAGTGAGTGCGTTGTCGCCATCAGATGAACCGAGCACACAAAGCAGACCCAGTAATGTCCAGCTCATTGAGCATCCCGTCGGTGCCGTTGAAGACAGATAAACAAGGTACTACCAGTTTGAGCTCAGCGAAGCGGCGGGCCGCGACTGCGGCCAGAATTAAAATAACTCGCTGCTCGACAGAAGGACACGCTCTTCGCTACCAATGAGAGAAGAAGCCAAAAAAAAAAGTATGGCGCAATGGTCATCGTAGACGGCACTTTGAACAGGAAAGAATCGAAGATTGGCAGTAAAGCTGTTTAGATGGAAGAAGTCCGGTACGGAAGCCGCAAACTCTGGGAGTTCAAGATGCGTTGCATCAGATCAATCGTGCTTCTTCCTACAGATGAACAGAGCAGGGAAACAAGCGACAGAGCAGATGTAACTTGACTACAGTTGAAGACTCGTAATCCAGCGATGTATTGGTTGGTCACTTAGCGGCTGACAAAGCAACACCCTTCCTTATTGACATGTGATTTGCATCAGGAAAAAGTCAGATTCATTATAATACATTGTAGACTTTGTAAAAGTAATATAAGTATTGTATATACATTGCAAATAACTGCAAGATCCTTATAATTTTATTACAATGTATATACAATACTTACATTATGTTTTACAAAGTCTACAATACATTATAAGAAAGGTGACTTTTTCCCAATGTGCTAGTTGACTCGAAGGTCACCATTTGCAACGAGTGGAAATTGGTTCTTGACTTGCTTGAGAACAGATGTTGAGTTTTTTCTGCTCTAGCTTGTATATACATTCACTCTCCCATTGGCAGCAGTTGTGAACTTGTGTAATGCATCAGAGTTCACTACAGTTTCTTTATTGTCAATCATTAACTGAGCTCTAAGATGGTTGCTTGGACTGAGAATTATATTTTTCAAGAGTATGCACACACTGGACAATATTTTCATACTGCTATTACAGTAAGTACAAGGGCAGATGGGACATTTAATATTACTCAGAGCCTGAAGGAAGTTAGAGAAACATCTGCAATGCAGAAAAATAACTCCTCTTTGTAACACACCACTTCAAGGTGCTTGGCAGCACTCTTTGAGACAGTGATTTTGAGACAACTGTTTATTGCAATAGCTGCTCACAACAACACGAAGCTGATAACCATCTTATGTAATTCCATGTATTGATTGTACAGTAAGGAACTGATTGAAGACAACCACAACTTGGTAGTCAACAGCACTGGAGACATGGTCATACTGTGCTGCTTCAATAGCACAGGTAAAGCAGTTCACAGTCTTTTGACAATGGAGAATGAAACTGCAGTGCTGTCAAAACCGAGGTGAATAATCCAAACACAGTTATACAGGGGATGGTTCAAGCTCCTCAGAACTTTGCCAGCTACAACATCTCTAAAGATGCTAAAAGGCAAATTCCCATCACAAATGATCTGGAACTTGCACTTCTGTTGTATTGACAAGCAATAGTGTAGTTGTGTCCAACAGCAATCACAAGCAAGAACTTTGTATCAACATGATCACTGAATGCAAAAACAGCTCAATAGGATCCTAGGTTCAACACACCTACACTTCTCTTCCAGTGCCAAGGGCATCAGGAAAAAGTCCATTTAAATATAATGAATTACAGTCCATTTAAAGAAATATTAGCATTTTATATACATTGTAATTCATATGTAAGGGTTAGAACACAACTATAAGGATAAAATAAGGTATATTAATGTATATAAAGACTCTAAGAGTGTTATAAATCATTACAATACATTAAATACATTATGATAACCTTACATTATAAGCTAAAGTATTATACTTAGATTATAACTTTGAAGACAGACTAAAATTCACCTTGTAAAAGAATTTATATTGTTTGTATAAGGTATTCAGATACTTGTAAAAACTATATCAATGTGTTAAAAGTAATATAGACATATCAGATTACTATCAACTGTATTATTATAAAGTAAAATAGTGCTTTCCTTTTGTATCTAAATATAATATTGGTTTTGTTTTACAGCTTTGCTACTATCACAAACATTGATTACATAATCAACACTGAAGATTGAGAGCATATAATGACACAATTATAGCTGTCACTCTTTCTCTCAACCTTCACCATTTCTCTAAGTCTAACCCTCTGCCCTAACACTATGTTGTTGCTTTTGTTCTCTCTGTTAGGAATTGTAAAATACAGTAACTAAAGTTTGGAAAAGCTTAACTCAAGACTTGGGACCAAGTAGTTTATATACAAAACCCTATTAGTTACAAGTCTAGAGATTGGCCAGATCAACTAGGCTACCTTTGTTGTCCTACTTAGTAAGAACTTCAGCTCAGCATTATTAACCTCTAATCATTACTAATGGGTGATCAATCCATTAGTAGAGAGAGGGGACAGGAAGGAGTAGGTACTAAGTCAGTTAGGAAAAGGTAACAAAACCTGAAAACAAGGTCTTTATCTCTCTAAGGTTAAACACATACTCTAGCACAGTATTACTTAATAACCTTAACCAAAGACAAGTCATTTGGAATGCTTGTATAGAGAGAGGATCTGGAAAGAGTATAGTGTCCAGAGTAAGAAGTATAAAGGAAAAGACTAGGAGAAAACCTGAAGAGATAAAAGGAAAATATTATACTTACTTAAGGAGAAATTACATAGCTAGCTAGGAATGCTTTGTACAAAGACAAAGGACCATTAAAGCTAGTAAAGAGCCAGAGCCAATACTCTAAAGCTCTATACTTGAGGAGGACTAGTACTAGTAAAGGAAAGGGAACTAAGAGCTCTGAGGAGAGACTACAGGAAAGCAGTCTCCTTTATACACTTTACTCATACAGATGGGAAAGTAATGAAGTCATAAACATAAGGACTATATGAGGACAACATGAGGAATACATGAGACAATCTAGAACTTTAGGTTGTAAGTTCTATGATT